ACTTCACCAGTTTATGCTCGACCATACAGTGGAGGCCTTTTGACTTCCCCCTGACGTACGCGGCTACCTGCCCAACACCACTAAACGTCAATACCAGAACGTCACACGACATCAACACATGCTGGTCCAGGATGACCTTCTTCCAGCCATCGCACCGAGATTTTCTATCAGTGTCCCGTTCAATATGGGACACTTTTCCTTCGCTTTCCATAATTTGGCTTGGAAATAACGTCCGGGCTTGTTGCATGACAGTTTCCGAGTCGGAAGTGACAAATATTTTGTATGTTGAAGGATCACTAAAATGTCGTAAGAATTGCCAAAACTTTTGAACATCTGCCATCGTAGCTCCCCTAGGGATTTTACTGTCATTTGGATTTGAAGGATTTCTAAAAAGTTGAATCTGTGTACAAACGAGCTTCGATGATCCGTTTGGTTTAGCTCTTGCTAGAAACCGGGACAGGGTTTCTTTCAAAGATGCGGATAAAGAGAATAGAGTCTTGTATGCTGTGGCAAAGACTTGGTCCCTTGTCTTATTTTCCATCCATGAGAATTCTTTCCGATGAACTCTGAGGCCTTGAGGGCATCAACATAGTCCAAATTTGCAAGAAAATATGCAATGTCATGTTTCAACCAGGCGCTAAAATTCAGAGTTCTCGATTTGCTAATGAAGCTGACTTTGCCCATCTCATTGTACACACCTACTGACCTGTCATCTCGCGAGACTTCAAACCGGGCTTCATCCCAGGGAACAGAGTTCGGTGTTTGGAATGACGTCAGGTTACACGGTAGAGATGTAATGTCGATACCAAACTTTCTCCGCGTTGCCATGGAGATGTAGAATCCCATTAAAATGCCCTTTAGTCTATCGGACCATCCACCACAGACATTAGATTTAGCACACCTATATATAAGATACTTAGTGTCTGACATATGGTGAGCGTTCATCTTGGATTGTCTCCCATCTAACATTGGGGTCAAGGTCAAGTCTCCATTTGAACCTTTAGATATTTTTACGCCATTCTCAGATCGAACGTCTTCTGCGGAAGTGGTCAATCTGTGGCCAAGTGTGTTTGGGACCCTCTTCCCAGACGGCCGTGATTAAGTCTCTAAGTGGTTGACGGCGATAACAATAAAGGAAACTGAAAGGGCCACGGTTAAGAAGAAAACTGATGACTTGGATTTCTGAAACGATAAACATCGGAGAATACATCTTTTTGCAGTGATTGTGCCAATTCTGTCTAAAATTTGCTTGATTCGAGGATGTACCGATCACCCATATGTAGCTGAAATATTGCTTACAATAGCATAAAATAACATTCCAGCAAATCAAAAGCATTCTGTTCGTAAAGTTAAAAACAGAACGTATTGGGAAGTATGTAGCTACATTTCTGCGAATCAGCTTCATTGGTGAGTAAAACACAAACTTAGTCATGCGAAGTATTATTTCATTGGGGGCGGTGAGGTAACCTGGGGGTATCAACCTGTTTCGTCTAATTTTTAAAACAGGTAAACAGTAGCAATTAGGCTCACACTGACTCATGGAGAAATCACTCATGCGTGGTTAGACAATCCAGGTATAGTCAGGGCCTAAACATTAGACGAACCAGGTTGTAATAAACCTGGAGGATGGAGTCGTCGCTCGTCACGGATCACGGGTCATAGATCAAGGATCACGGGTCACGGGTCACAGGCTCTATGTCAATCAAGGGCTTAACACCAAATGCTTTGTGTCTTCCTAAGGTTAAATGTTACAGCAACTAAAACAGGCGCGCAGAGATTTCGAATTATTCCAAAGGTACTACTTGTCGCGTATTCAAAACTAAACCTGTCTTTGAATGTTTTTTACATATGTCCCTTTCTCCTTGACTCTTAAATTCCTCTTGATTAGAACTTCCTGCCATCGTTTACCGATTGAGTGAGTGAGTTTAGTTTTACGCCGCACTCAGCAATATTCCATCTATATGGCGGCGGTCTGTAAATAATCGAAAACACAGTAAAAACGTCCTAAGTTCATTTAGTCTTTGATTGCGGGTGTCTTGGTTTGAAACTATTGTACATATTCTTCGTGCCAGGTTATATGGAAGACTTCTTTTGGTGTGGCTCGGATGACAATTTAGGACGTTTTTACTATTACGGGAATATCCAAAATCTCTTGTTGAAGACGGAATATATAAAGCTTTACAGCTTAATAGAGACGATCTTTTGACAGGAACGATGAAACAAACCAATGAGGAAAAAGTAATTGCTTTTGTATCTACTTATAATCCGTTGAACCAAAATGTGTTCCAGAACATAAAAACAAATATGTGCATCTTAGACCAAGATGAAAAACTGAAATCAATGCTGAAATCTAGAAAAATAATAAATAGCAAAAGACAAAATCAGAATCTTAAAAAGATACTAAACAAAAGCCAAATTTATTTTAAAGAAACAGAATTTATCAAATCCTACTGTGTCTAGATGCAACAGAGGTAACTGTGGAACGTGTCGACATATTGTTGAAGGACACTCTGTAACTTTCACGAGACATGGAGAATTCTATGTAAAACAGAATTTTGACTGCTCTTGCAAAAAACATAATATATGTCATAACATGCACAGGCTGTAATGAACAGTATATTGGTTAATCAGAAAATTTAAGAGCCTGGGTTCGTGTCCACAAACAACAAATAAAGTGTCCTGAAACCCGATGTATCCCACTGAGTGAACATCTAGATGTCTGTGCGAAAGGAAACGATGTTAAATTTACAATATTTCCTTTTATCAAGTTCAAAATTCGGACAAAGTAAAACGAATTTTAAAAAGAACACTACTTCATAGACAAGTACAAACCAATGTTAAACCATTGCAAGCTGTGACCTTGTCGCTCTAGAATGTTGTCCCTATTATGACGTCACAATATATATGTAATGACGTCATACTGTAACCGCTACAATCTCCCTGAAGAGTAAAGAACGAAACATGTTGGAGAAAAAGGCATTCTGTTTTATTTATCTATGCAATATATATATATATATATATATATATATATATATATATATATATATATATATATATATATATATATACATGTTGTGTAGTCATGCATGTTGTCGGAATGCAAGCTGGGGGTGGTGACTTATGATTTGTATTCAAATTACAGCGTTCGCTCAAGTAATGATGCCTTTAGCATTAGTCCACACCACGGGAAGAAGCAATTGAAGCTTTACTTACCAATACTGGGCTGCTTTGAAGAGGTGGGAGGACTTGTAGGCGGTTCTAGCATTGGTATGTTGTACTGCTGGGTCTGATGTTCGATAACGTTATGCCTTTGTAAAGGAAATGGAGTACAGGTATTGGTGTTGTAAGGTATTTTACCCGTGAAGATCCGGGTAAGAATTGGTCTTCAGCAACCCATGCTTGTCGTAAGAGGCAACTAACTGGTTTGGGTGGTCATGCTTGCCCTGGGTGATCCGGGTTAGAATTAGCCTCCCAACAACATATACGTGTAGTAACGGGCTATTATCTAACAAAGTGTTTAACTCTGTAGTTTGCGCCTCACTTCAATCACTGCTGCGTCAGGTCCAGACTATTATGTACAACCCTTGATATACACTCTTCAAAAAAGTAAGGGAACTTCATTTTTGATTTACAATTGAAAAAATTGGGATATATATCGATGCAAATATATGTTGCATGTGTATGATTTTCAATTAACCCTCCCACCCCCACCCCCGACCCTCCCAAAAAACAACAACAACAAAAACCAAAAACGGCTGGAAACAAACACTAACAACAGAACTATGTGATGCAAGATCATTGCCAAAATTAATGGTCTACCGTCAACATCAAGAATGACACCCGATGCACGTGTATGGGGCTACTGCGTTGTGCACGTGCATCCCATGCGTTGTGTTTAGAGGTGGTGGCAAAGAGATATGGTGGTGCGTTCGTAATATGTCTGTCTTTGAAAAGTTTGTTAACGCTTATACTTCCTATCCAAATTGAAAGTTCAGGTTCCCCTACTCAGAGTATATATTCTGTAATTATACCGCGTTAAACAGTCAACGCACACATCTTGATTTTCAATTACCCATGATCGTACAGGCTTTCAATGAGGTAATACCGTATAATTTCAGATCACTGTCATGTAGATCATGCATGGTTTGTTCTTGCCATTTAAGCTAAAATCTTACAAGAAACGTCGTCAGTAAATGGAGCCTTGTATTTTGCTGGCGTGTCCCTGATTATTGCCGGAGTTGGAGCCATCATTGCGTGGGTGTTGATAAAACGCTGGCCACCTCTCAGTGATGAACCTGTGGCCCAGGCTTTTGTGATGGGCCGGAAGGACATCGCCGACGACACAGGCGACGAAGTTGGCGACGGCCTCGGCAATGGAGACACTAGTGGGGCCCAATAATCGTCTGTTCATGCGTCGATTTAGATATACACTTAAAAAAAAGTAGGGGAACTTCATTTTAAATTTACGATTGATCAAAATGGGAGATATATCGGAGTCAATCAATGTTGATGTGATAGTGTCGGTGGTGGAATTGGGTTTAACGTCGTGCTTGAGAATATTTCGCTCATATGACGACGTGCATGCGTGTGTATGTGTATGTGCATCTGCTTGTACTTTCCCAGACTGAATCTGGTTTTATAGTGCTAGCCCACTGAGTGAAGTGGAGCATGAATACCCCACTCAGACACATTATACCAGTCCTTGTTGTACCCATTAATGCCAAGCGCCAGGCAGGGACCAACACGTAACATATTTTAACGTCTTTTGGTATGACGCGGTCGGGGATCGGACCCGCGACCTTCCGCAATCCGGGCGGACGCTCTAACCACTACACCACGGAGGCGGTCTGATATGATAGTAATGAATGTTTCGAGAGTGCATCACCACTTGCACTTCCCTATAGCCATAGTTGTAGTTGTTGGTACAGTAATCGCACTTGAAAGATTATTGGTGCATGACGTGAAATTTGCATGTGTACTTTTTTCATTTTAAAAAAAAACAAAACAAAAATAACCCGGATAGAAACAAACACTAACAACTGTGTGATGCAAGATGATTGTAAAAATTAATGGTCTACTGTCATTTATCGACCATCTTGAAAACCGTCAAAATCAAGAATGACACCCCATGCACGTGTATGGGGCTACTGCGTGCACCACAAGCGTTGTGTTTAGTGGGGTGATAAAGCGAAATGGTGGTGCGTTTATAAGATGTCTGTCTTTGAAAAGTTTGTTAACGCTATTTTCTATCCAGATTGAAAGTTCAGGTTCTCCTACTTTTTAAGAGTATATAATAAGTCTGCTTGAATGTCTATGTCGGACATCTAGGATAAATTGCTGAATGCTTAATGAAGACAGTTACAAGAGATTGAGTGAGTGAGTGTGGTTTTACGCCGCTTTTAGCAATATTCCAGCAATATCACGGCGGGGGACACCAGAAATAGGCTTCACACATTGTACCCAGTTACAAGAGAAGTTACTATTGGATAACTGCTATGATAAGGTATGATGATGTTCATAAATCTATGAAGATTATAGTCATGCTAAAGGCAGTGTATGATGTAAACCAAAAACCCAGCCAGACATCTGGGCTAGTAACTTCAAAAACTTACCAGCCCAGGAGAGATTCAATCAGTCCTTCTTAAATACTAAATAGACAGTGTCAGTGGACACGTTATCTGAATATTTCTTTTCACCCGTCCATCGGGCTGGCTAGCTATAAACTTAGACCGTCCGGCAAAATCTAGCCCGTCTCGGGTGGTCGGGCGGGCCTTATTTCATACACTGCTAAAGGTATGGTGATTACAGTTATGATGATAGTGATGCGGGTGGTATGATGATGGTGATGATAACGGCTATTATGATGATGGTGATAAATCATGATAGTGAAGCTAAAGGTATGATGATATTGATCTTTACAGCTCTGATGATAGTGTTGATAACGGATATGATGATGATGATGATGATAGTGATGCGGGTGGTATGATGATGATGATGATTACGGCTGTGATGATGGTGATGATAACGGCTATGGTGATGATGATGATAAATCTATGATAATGATAGTGATGCTGATGGTATGATGATGGTGTTGATGATTACGGATCTGATGATGAATGGTAGTGTATTTGGAGCTTATATATTTGCTATACACTGGTACACAGTCATGTACTTGCATGAAGAAATATGTTTTTCGTGGGAATTATTAGGATATAAAGGTTTTTTAGTTTAAAATTTCCTCACGTTTTCACTTGATCCACGTGATCTTACGAATACAATATACACTGCATTTCAAAGACAACGATCATCCTGAGTAGATCGATACTGATGCTGTTGATCACTGGATTGTCTGGTCCAGTCTCCATTATTTACAGACTGCCGCCATATAGCTGGAATATTGCTGAGTGCGCCGTAAAACAAGAAACCAAACCTTGGATGGTTGACCATGCTCGACAGTTTTGGCCCTTGAATAGAAACGCAAAGAATTTATCTTTCTGCAAAAACACGTTTGGCTGGCTAAATACGACTATAAAATAATTTCCCAATAACGATGAAAGATTTGTATGAAGTAGCAAGTGAAAAAAAAGCAACCCACATTGTCATTACAACTTCGTTTTCATTATCATTGGAGATGACAACAGACCACTGGAGTCTGAAAAAGGCATATCTATTTCTACATATGATTAGACTTATCAGTTTACTACAAAAGCGTATCATTAATCAAAAAGGGCGACAACGCGACAATGCGACATATTCATTATGTCGCATTGTCGCGTATTTTACACATCTTGAATGGGGCGATACATTTTGCCCTTGACATGCAGCTGTTATATGCTAGACATACTGTTGGTGCTTTCGAGTCACTCGTTTTCGGTGAGCCATTCAATCCTCTGTCGCTATGTCGCCCTTTGATTGAGTAAGAAAATATTATTCAAAGCACTACAATGTGACATGGCGACAGTGTGACAAATGGCCAATGGGTTTTGAATGCATCACCAGAAATGAGTGACGAAAGCACCTAGTCACCAAAGGTATGCCTGGCTTATGACAGCTGCATGTCAGCAGTAGAGTATGTCCCAGTCAGCCCAGTAACGACGTCGGAAATGTGAAAACTTCAATGAGTAATACTTCTCAAAATCAGGCATTTACTTTTATGAAACCGGCATTGCTTTCAAATGCAATCCACTTGGAAACAAAGTAACAATAATTCCTTTTCATACGGAATTATTTTTTGGGGGGACAAAATCGTTTACGTTTATACAACGCTCGCGTCATTTAGTGTTTCACGCAATACTGTGTGGTCATACCTTCTGTGTTTCGACACATTTTATAATTTGACATGTCAGTGGATATCAGCCTACAATCTTCACATCTTGAGTCTGGTGTTGTGCTCTCAAGTCTCGATTCTGTAAAAAGCCCTGGTACTAGTCATGATAAATTCAAGGAAGGCTTCATCACTGGTTCTAGCCACCGCGAACCCAAGCATGGCTACATCCCTGATCCAAGTCATCGTACATCCGATGAAGAAACCAACCCAATTGTTAAATCTGATGGACAGCATTCTGCTACCCCAACTCATTATTCTGTAAATGAACTCTATGCTGCCACGTCTGGCCAGTCGGGTGAAGATGAAATAATTCCTAAAACTGATTCTATGGAAGAGATAGACGCAGAAGAGAAAACATCGGTAAGTGACCTGTTTGCCTTTAGGCTGCGGAGACAGATAATTCATTGATAGAAGTAGGTCGAATGGAAGAATATTGCACACGCGCATGTTGTGCCCTTAAACCTACAATGGTCTTAAAGGGCAACTTTACACGATAATTAACCTTTTTGTCTTGCACTTTTTCAGCATAAAAAGTGTTTGTCAAGCAGCCTCATAGCCAAATTGATTGATTGATCGATTGATTGACTCAGAGAACATATACCAGAATCATTAATTAAGATGATAAAACGATTTAATATGTTGATGAAATTGAAGTGTACGTTTTGTCAAACTTTCCAGATTGTTATTTAACTTACTCTAAATAAGGATAGATCCAAAAGTAAACAAATGTTTTATCCCAATGTCTCATTGTGTGATTGCTGCTTGTAGATATCTCAATGTTGCACGACTGTCTAGGCCATGTTTCCAGAATACGTTTCACTTCTAAGATTTTTACTGTTTTTGTCATCTTTGGCGTTTAATATAAAATCAGTCTTTGGATTTAACAAGAACGTAAGTTACAACGTAATATACGTCACGCTGTAGAACTGTAAGATGGAAAAGGTGTTTAACAGTTAAAGTCAAAATATATTCATTCCAATTTTGTGTGATTCCATGGCGTTTTCATGAAAGGGAACGTTCTATTTTCAAGTTTCTGATTTTAATCTGTGATACAATGTAAATGTGGTCTGCGTGGTTCCGTCTATTCTGGATTTTGAACAGGTACCCTGTGGCGTCAAAAGTGTGAAATATGCTTGACTGAGTACACTTTCTGTTTGTTTTTCAGATGAATTAATTGTTTCCTTATTTGATATTTGAATCAAGAACAAAAGAGATCATTTCCTCACGGTTTAAGTTGATACTACTAGTCATCCATGAACGTAAAAAAACTTGGGTGTTTATGGCTACCTTACTTCAAACCAGTGCTGCAAGTTTGTTCACTGAGTGCTGAAAAAGTATAAAATGTTCGTTCACATGTTGTAGTTTGGGAAAATAGACTTCTTTCATGGAATGTCGTGATTTAATTTTTAGCACTTTCCAATTTGAATTGTGCAGTTTCGTTGGGAATGACTGTGAAACGTACATATATGCATCACATCTGGCTAGAGAATGTGCCGACAATCTAAGTTAGCTACTCCCTTCTCAACAACCCTCACTTTCATATCGAAACCATATCCAAGTACATCACGAAGATAAATGCACTTCGCAGTTTTGAATTCTGTTTGAAATTCGCTTTTCTATGAAATCATCCGCACATTGTAGGTAGGACAAACTTACTAAGAAGTACATGCATCATAAATCTCGCTAGTTTTGACATATTACTAAATCACCATTCAAGGCGTTTTGCGTATTACCGAACGAGAGGCTATTATCGAATTAAATTCCATTTCCGTATATTTTCTCAACTTGCTGATCGTGACAGGTTTTTTTGAGCGTGTAGCTTCAGAGCTTCCAGGGAACCTTCCAGCAAAACTGTCGTTTAACATACAACATATAAATCAAGACAAGAATAAAAGAGAAGATTTTTTTTAAATCAATTACTCAAATTTCAGTTACGGAAGTTTATGTTAGAGGGACACCTCACTGTGCCTGCTGCCTTTGTTTTGGTTACAAGTGCAGTAAACCATTGTAAACAGGCAGACAGAGGGACTAGTTACTGTCTGTTTAAGTATTTTTTATTCAGATTTGGGTGGCAGTCTTCCTCCTGAACTGATTTGAAGTAGAATAATTTCCGTCAATGTAGTCTCAGTAGGGGCAGGGCAGCAGTTCTGCGAATCAACGATAGCACTCTATGTTATCCGATACTAAACGTGCCACAAAAGGCCAAATGTTTGTTAGTCTTGAATAATCGTGTTTGCTTGGTCCTATAAGACCGTGAATATGATATTTTTAAACAACAACGGTTCGGTTATTAATACTACCGTCCATGTTGAAATAAGTAAGTTCAACCCCTCAAAAAGAACATACATACAAATCAGTTATGAGATCGATCAAGTGCACTCTTCAAAAAAAGAAACGCATAAGCCATTTTAGAAGAATTTATTGCGTTAGTTTAAGAACAATTATTTCATGTAATTTCAATGGTAATACTAGTACTTCATTTCCAGACAAGGTTAGACATGACAAAGACCTGTAATATGAAATGTCATATACTGGAGATGCGAGTACTGATCTCTAATAGAAGCAAGTCTGTAATGGAGGGATGTATGGTCATTGTGATGCTCTTGAAATCAGCTTCACCCCCCAAATCATTTCAAGTCCTTCTTACTAATTTTTTAAATTTACTCAGGTGCCTCCAACGTTGCCTTTTTAAAAGATTTTCTTGTTTCGAATTTGGGGAGGTACTTTGAGTCAGTTACGTCCTTGTTAGAAATTCACTGTATTGACGTCAATCCGTTCTTTACAAATGCTATCGATTCAGGGACTATTTCCTCTTCCTCGTTCCTGTTCCTTAATATTTCATAATTTGCAAATTTCTGTAACAGCAATGAGGAAAGAGGAAACTAACTAAGTTGCGTTGATCGATGCCGATTGTGTCAATCATTGGATTGTTTGGTCCAGCCTCGATTAATACAGACCGCCTTCATATAGCTGAAATATTGCTGAGTGCGGCATTAAACAACAAACCAACAAATCAACCCAATAATCATGAAATTGTGCTCCTAAAGGAGTTTGGTCATTTGATCAATGTGTACTTGTTATTTCAATCCTTTTCGTTTGGATGCCATATAGACAATATTAAAAGTCGTTCTTTTGTAAACTTTGAGTGATATATATATACATGTTATGTAGTCATGCATGTTGTCGGAATGCAATCGCTGGGATGGTGGCACATTACAGACTTATGATTTGTATTGAAATTACAGCGTTCGCTCAAGTAATGATGCCTTTAGCATTAGTCCACACCACGGGAAGAAGCAATTTGAAGCTTTCCTTACCAATACTGGGCTGCTTCGAAGAGATGGGAGGACTTGTAGGCGGTTCTAGCATGGGTATGTTGTACTGCTGGATCTGATGTTCGATAACGTTATGCCTTTGTAAAGGAAATGGAGTACAGGTATTGGTGTTGTAAGGTTTTTACCCGTGAATATCCGGGTAAGAATTGGTCTTCAGCAACCCATGCTTGTCGTAAGAGGCAACTAACTGGTTTGGGTGGTCATGCTTGCTGACTTGGTTGAGACATGTCATCGTATCGTAATTGCGTAGATCGATGCTCGTACTGTTGATCACGGGATTGTCTGGTCCAGAATCGATTATTTGCTGAGTGTGGAGTTAAACAACAAACACACAAACAAACTGTAAGGTATTTCGTTCTGGTGACAAAATATTATGACCAACTGAAAACCGACTTTTAAATTCATTCTGTGATGCGTGTTCAGGCGCCAGGGTGGTCCGGGTTAGCGCCTCACTTTTAGCCTCCCGACAACATATACGTGTAAACAACAAACACACAAACAAACTGTAAGGTAACGGGCTATTATCTAACAAAGTGTTTAACTCTGTAGTTTGCGCCTCACTTTAATCACTACGTGTGTGTCATTATCTCCAGACTATTATGTACAACCCGTGATATATACTCTTCAAAAAAGTAGGGGAACTTCATTTTGATTAACGATTGAAAAAATTGGGATATATATCGATGCAAATCAATGTTGCATGTGTATGATTTTCATTTAACCCTCTCCCACCCCCACCCCCCCCCCAAAACAACAACAAAAAAAAAACGGCTGGAAACAAACACTAACAACAGAGCTATGTGATGCAAGATGATTGCCAAAATTAATGGTCTACCGTCAAAATCAAGAATGACACCCGATGCACGTGTATGGGGCTACTGCGTTGTGCACGTGCATCCCATGCGTTGTAGTTAGAGGTGGTGGCAAAGAGATATGGTTGCGCGTTCATAAGATGTCTGTCTTTGAAAAGGTTGTTAACGCTTATACTTCCTATCCAAATTGAAAGTTCAGGTTCCCCTACTCTTTTAAGAGTATATATTCTGTAATAATACCGCGTTAAACAGTAAACGCACACATATTGATTTTAAATTACCCATGATCGTACAGGCTTTTAATGAGGTAATACCGTATAATTTCAGATCACTGTCATGTCCATCATGCATTGTTTGTTCTTGCCATTTTAGCTAAAATCTTACAAGAAACGTCGTCAGTAAATGGAGCCTTGTATTTTGCTGGCGTGTCCCTGATTATTGCCGGAGTTGAAGCCATCATTGCGTGGGTGTTGATAAAACGCTGGCCACCTCTCAGTGATGAACCTGTGGCCCAGGCTTTTGTGATGGGCGGGGAGGACATCGCCGACGACACAGGCGACGAACTTGGCGACGGCCTCGGCAAAGGAGACACTAGTGGGGCCCAATAATCGTCTGTTGCATGCGTCGATTTAGATACACACTTAAAAAAAAGTAGGGGAACTTCATTTTAAATATACGATTGAACAAAATGGGAGATATATCGCAGTCAATCAATGTTGATATGAAAGTAATGAATGTTTCGAGAGTGCATCACCACTTGCACTTCCTTCTGGCCATAGTTGTAGTTGTTTGCACAGTAATCGCACTTGAAAGATGATTGGTGTATGATGTGAAATTTGCATGTGTACTTTTTTCATTTTCAAAAAACGAAAACAAACAAAACACCCGGCTAGAAACAAACACTAACAACTGAGTGATGCAAGATGATTGTAAAAATTAATGGTCTACATTCATTTATCGACCATCTTGAAAACCGTCAAAGTCAAGAATGACATCCCATGCACGTGTATGAGGCTACTGCGTTGTGCACGTGCACCACAAGCGTTGTGTTTAGTGGGGTGATAAAGCGATATGGTGCAGCGTTCATAAGATGTCTGTCTTTGGAAAGTTTGTAAACGCTACTTCCTATACAAATTGAAAGTTCAGGTTCCCCTACTTTTTAAGGGTATATAACAGTCTGCTTGAATGTCTATGTCGGACATCTAGGATAAATTGCTGAATGCTTAATGAAGACAGTTACAAGAGATTGAGTGAGTGAGTGTGGTTTTACGCCGCTTTTAGCAATATTCCAGCAATATCACGGCGGTGGACACCAGAAATGGGCTTCACACATTGTACCCAGTTACAAGCGAAGTTACTATTGGATAACTGCTATGATAAGGTATGATGATGTTGATAATATATCTATGAAGATGATAGTCATGCTAAAGGCAGTGTATGAAATAAGCCAAAAACCCAGCCAGACATCTGGGCTAGTAACTTCAAAAACTTACCAGCCCAGGAGAGATTCAACCAGTCCTTCTTCAATACTAAATAGACAGTGTCAGTGGACACGTTATCTGAATATTTTTTTTCACCCGTCCTTTGGGCTGGCTGGCTATAAAATTAGACCGTCCGGCAGAAATCTAGCCCGTCTCGGGCGGTCGGGCGAGCCTTATTTCATACACTGCTAAAGGTATGACGATTACAGTTATGATGATGGTGATGATAACGGCTATGATGATGATGGTGATAAATCATGATAGTGATACTATAGGTATGATGATATTGATCTTTACAGCTCTGATGATAGTGTTGATAACGGATATGATGATGATGATGATGATGATGATGATGATAGTGATGCGGGTGGTATGATGATGGTGTTGATGATTACGGCTGTGATGATAACGGCTATGGTGATGATGATGATAAATCTATGATAATGATAGTGATGCTGATGGTATGATGATGGTGTTGATGATTACGGCTCTGATGATGAATGGTAGTGTATTTGGAGCTTATATATTTGCTATACACTGGTACACAGTCATGTACTTGCAAGAAGAAATATATGTTTTCGTGGGAATTATTAGGATATAAAGGTTTTTTAGTTTAAAATTTCCTCACGTTTTCACTTGATCCACGTGATCTTACGAATACAATATGACTACACTGCATTTCAAAGACAACGATCATCCTGAGTAGATCGATACTGATGCTGTTGATCACTGGATTGTCTGGTCCAGTCTCGATTATTTACTGCTGAGTGCGCTGTAAAACAAGAAACCAAACCTTGGATGGTTGACCATGCTCGACAGTTTTGGCCTCTGAGAGAGTTCGGTCTGTCTCGCACCGACGCACATACAATACCCTGAATAGAAACGCAAAGAATTTGTCTTTCTGCGAAAACACGTTTGGCTGGCTAAATACGACACCGACATTAACATACTATAAAATAATTTCCCAATAACGATGAAAGATTTGTATGAAGTAGCAAGTTAAATAAAAGCAACCCACATTGTCATTACAACTTCGTTTTTATTATCATTGGAGATGACAACAGACCATTGGAGTCTGAAAAAGGCATATCTATTTCTACACATAATTAGACTAATCAGTTTACTACAAAAGCGTATCATTAATCAAAAGGGGCGACAACGCGACAATGCGACATATTCATTATGTCGCATTGTCGCGTATATTACACATCTTAAATGGGGCGATACATTTTGCCCTTGACATGCAGCTGTTATATGCTAGACATACTGTTGGTGTTTTCGAGTCACTCGTTTTCGGTGAGCCATTCAATCCTCTGTCGCTATGTCGCATTTCGCCCTTTGATTGAGTAAGAAAATATTATTCAAAGCACTACAATGTGACATGGCGACAGTGTGACCAATGGGCAATGGGTTTTGAATGCATCCCCGAAAATGAGTGACGAAAGCACCTAGTCACCAAAGGTATGTCTGGTTTATGACAGCTGCATGTCAGCAGTAGAGCATGCCCCAGTCAGCCCAGTCACAACGTCGGAGATGTGGAAACTTCCATGAGTAATACTTCTCAAAATCAGACATTTACTTTTATGAAACCGGCATTGCTTTCATTTGCAATTCACAAAATAACAATACTTCCTTTTCATACGGAATTATTTTTGGGGCGGACAAAATCGTTTACGTTTATACAACGCTCGCGTCATTTAGTGTTTCACGCAATACCGTGTGGTCATACCTTCTGTGTTTTCGACACATTTTAAAATTTAACATGTCAGTGGATATCAACCTACAATCTTCACATCTTGAGTCTGGTGTTGAGCTCTTGAGTCTCGATTCTGTAAAACGCCCTGGTACTAGTCATGATAAATTCAAGGAAGGCTTCAATACTGGTTCTAGCCACCGTGAACCCAAGCATGGCTACATCCCTGATCCAAGTCATCGTACATCCGATGAAGAAGCCAACCCAATTGTTAAATCTGATGGACAACATTCTGCTACCCCAACTCATTATTCTGTAAATGAACTCTATGCTGCCACGTCTGGCCAGTCGGGTGAAGATGAAATAATTCCTAAAACTGATTCTATGGAAGAGATAGACGCAGAAGAGAAAACATCGGTAAGTGACCTGTTTGTCTTTAGGCTGCAGAGACAGATAATTCATTGATAGAAGTAGGTCGAATGGAAGAATATTGCACACACGCATGTTGTGCCCTTAAACCTACAATGGCCTTAAAGGGCGACTTTACACGATAATTAACCTTTTCGTCTTGCACTTTTTCAGCATAAAAAGTGTTTGTCAAGCAGCCTCATAGCCAATTTGATTGATTGATCGATTGATTGATTGACTTTAATTTACGACGCTTTTAGCATTATTCTAGCAATATCAAGGCGGGGGACACCAGAAATGGACCTCACATTCTCATAGTTAAAACAGTACAGCTATCATTAGAAACTAATTACTTTTTGCATTATATCGATTCATATTTTGCACATTTAATGAGAGTTCTATGACCACAATAAAACACCATAGCTTATGTCCCTTTGTAAATGACGTCATTGGTGCCCAACTTATAAACGAATGACGACATTAAACTATATTTTGCACGTATTCGTGTGGCCACCATCTGGTCATATACCAGCGGATTCGTGGGTTCTTTTAAGTGCACAGGGTTATGAACTGTACCCTAGGGGTTGTGGCAACACGGAAAGAGTCTGCACACAAGGCTGACTCCAAGTTTTTTACACCTTATTATAGTCTTTAATACCACAAACTAAAGCTATAATTACCATTTATCTTATCATTACACATATCATTGCAAAGACTCATAAATTATAATGTTTCTGTCGCAAAAATCACAAAGACTCCACTCTCACTGTAATCAAGTTCCCTACCAGTGCCACTATAGTTAATACCTAATGTTGTCTTTTTTATCTGGGCACATACCATTATTATCCAGGGTACAGCTTAATTAAGCCTTATGCAACCAACCATAAAATGTGTTGTTTTAAGTGGTCTGTCTTTTGGGAGGTCGGTCTTATGGGAAGATACCATTTCACGTGGTGCAGGTGTGGTTCTTGTGTCTCGTTTCCCAGGCTACCGTTTTAACCGTCTCGTTGCCTGGCCGTCAGCTGGCTTTGTGTATCGGTCGGTTCTACACTGTAATGGATCGTCCCCTGCTGATATTGCTGGAATATTGCTAAAAGCGGCGTTAAACCAAACTCACTTACTCAAAAAATAGTATACATTGTACGGAAAGTGTTACCACGTAACTAAACTGTATAACACTGAACCTGAGTCGCCTTCCAACAGTATCTTCTTTCAGCAAAACTGAACAGTCATTCTACAACGAAACTGCACAACTGCAGTCGGCGAGTTTGCAGGATGCGATTTGTGAAACCAAAAAGCCTCTTGATCTATAAATACATTGATAATAATAAGGAAAGTATAGGAAACATGAAAAGCAAGGAAGCTAACCAGTCATTAAACAAATGCTTAACATGCATTGGCATACATGGGTAGGGGGTACGGTTTTTCTGGTGTCGTTTAGTGACGGACCGGTCAATAAAAGCTGCCTCTTTAAGATGGCCACCGCTACCACGAGTCAAATGTAGATAAGTTTTGAAAGCAATCAGGAACTGTTTATGAAAACCCCCATCAAATACGCTTGTGAAAACATACACAATTGCAATGTAATCAATTGCTAAACTAAAAATTAAAAACTATTACAATATAAAAAATGTGTTATTTAGAGGATGAAATGATATAGTTTAGATAGCAAGCATATTATGTCTACGAAAGATACAGGTTAGTTGAACACAGACCAGTAATGTTCGTTTTTAAAGACCGATTTTTTAATGACATAATCATATGTGACGGTGATGATATTGTAACGTTGCTGCAAAGCCTTATGGGACCATTGGTTACTTTGAAACAACATTTCGTTCTCTAGTTTAATACAGCATCAACGCAGAAACACAACCGTAGTACCCAGAAGATCACTTCAGACAAACAAAATGTAATTTACGTTTTGCATTTTACGTTAATTGGCAGTTAGAATGGTCCATGGCGTTACACGGGAAACCCCAAAGACACAAAAAAAATCACGTGTTAGTACCCGTTTGAATGCCTGCATGCCGGCAGAGCAATGTTCATTGTATGGATTCAATTGTCGATCATGCCTTTTTTCACCCTAACGTAAATGACTAAATGTGTTACGTAAACTTCATAAAAATATTTCTAACGGAATCAATAATTAAGATGATAAAACGATTTAATATGTTGATGAAATTGAAGTGTACGTTTTGTCAAACTTTACAGATTGTGCTTTAACTTACTCTAAATAATTATGAATCCAAAAGTAAACAAATGTTTTATCCCAATGTCTCATTGTGTGATTGCTGCTTGTAGATATCTCAATGCTGCACGACTGTCTAGGCCATGTTTCCAGAATACGTTTCACTTCTAGATTTTTTACTGTTTTTGTAATCTTTGGCGTTTAATAAAAAATCAGTCTTAAGTTACAACGTAATATACCTCACGCTGTAGAACTGTAAGATGGTAAAGGTGTTTAACAGTTAAAGTCAAAATATATTCATTCCCATTTTGTGTGATTCCATGGCGTTTTCGTGAAAGGGAACGTTCTATTTTCAAGTTTCTGATTTTAATCTGTGATACAATGTAAATGTGGTATGCGTAGTTCCGTCTATTCTGGATTTTGAACAGGTACCATGTGGCGTCAACAGTGTGAAATATGCTTTACTGAGTACACTTTCTGTTTGTTTTTCAGATGAATTAATTGTTTCCTTATTTGATATTTGAATCAAGAACAAAAGAGTTCATTTCCTCACGGTTTATGTTGATACTACTAGTCATCCATGAACGTAAATAACTTGGGTGTTTACTTCAAACCAGTGCTGCGAGTTTAATACTGTTCACTGAGTGCTGAAAAAGTATAAAATGTTCGTTCACATGTTGTAGTTTGGGAAAATAGACTTCTTTCATGGAATGTCGTGATTTAATTTTTAGCACTTTCCAATTTGAATTGTGCAGTTTCGTTGGGAATGACTGTGAAACGTACATATATGCATCACATCTGGCTAGAGAAAGTGCCGACAATCTAAGTTAGCTACTCCCTTCTCAACAACCCTCACTTTGATATCGAAACCATATCCAAGTACATCACGAAGATAAATGCACTTCGCAGTTTTGAATTCTGTTTGAAATTCGCTTTTCTATGAAATCATCCGCACATTGTAGGTAGGGCAAATTTACTAAAAATTCATTCAAGGCGTTTTGCGTATTACCGAACGAGAGGCTATTATCGAATTAAATTCCATTTCCGTATATTTTCTCAACTTGCTGATCGTGACAGGTATTTTTGAACGTGTCGCTTCAGAGCTTCCAGGGAACCTTCCAGCAAAACTGTCGTTTAACATACAACATATAAATCAAAACAAGAAGAAAAGAGAAGATTTTTTTTAAATCAATTACTCAAATTTCAGTTACGGAAGTTTATGTTAGAGGGACACCTCACTGTGCCTGCTGCCTTTGTTTAGGTTACTAGTGCAGTCAACCATTGGAAACAGGCAGTAGAGGAATTAGTTACAGTCTGTTAAAAAAAATACATAACAATTCATTAAGTATTTTTTATTCAGATTTGGGTGGCAGTCTTCCTCCTGAACTGATTTGAAGTAGAATAATTTCCGTCAATGTAGTCTCAGTAGGGGCAGGGCAGCAGTTCTGCGAATCAACGACTGCACTCTATGTTATATGATACTAAACGTGCCACAAAAGGCCAATGTTTGTTAGGCTTGAATAATCGTGTTTGCTTGGTCCTATAAGACCGTGGATATGATATTTTTAAACAACAACGGTTCGGTTATTATTACTACCGTCCATGTTGAAATAAGTAAGTTCAACCCTTAAAAAGAACATACATACAAATCAGTTATGAGATCGATCAAGTGCACTCTTCAAAAAAAGAAACGCATAAGCCATTTTAGAAGAATTTATTGCGTTAGTTTAAGAACAATTATTTCATGTAATTTCAATGGTAATACTAGTACTTCATTTCCAGACAAGGTTAGACATGACAAAGACCTGTAATATGAAATGTCATATACTGGAGATGCGAGTACTGATCTCTAATAGAAGCAAGTCTGTAATAGACGGATGTATGGTCATTGTTATGCTCTTGAAATCAGCTTCACCCCCAAATTATTTCAAGTCCTTCTTACTAATTTTTAAAATTTACTCAGGTGCCTCCAACGTTGCCTTTTTAAAGGATTTTCTTGTTTCGAATTTGGGCAGGTACTTTGAGTCAGTTACGTCCTTGTTAGAAATTCACTGTATTGACGTCAATCCGTTCTTTACAAATGCTATCGATCCACGGGACTATTTCCTAATTTCTCGTTCCTGTTCCTTAATATTTCATAATTTGTAAATTTCTGTAAGAGCAATGAGGAAAAGAGGAAACGATACTGCGTCGAAGCAAAGACTCTTTGTTCACAACTTAACTTGTTTGGCACACCGTTTGTCCGGAATAGCCCGACATGGCTGCTCGGAATAGCCTGACAATGATGTTCAGACGAGTCGTCAAGAGTTACAAACAATTATGAAAATTCGATGTTGTGAAATATGTGAAGAATAGTCATGAATATTTATGAGTGGGCGGAGCTTATGTTTCGCCCTTTGACTTTTCTTTGATCCTTTTTTCAGTTTTGGCTCTTTTATCCTCCTTACGCACTACTTTCACTTGAACACGAAAGTGTATCTACGTCTGCTGAGTCATGTAAAGATGAATAACGTGGAATAAGGGTGCATTTTTTGCCCTACAACATAACAAAAACAGCCTTTCCTTCTTTACTTAAATTTAAATGTTAGGGGAAAATCAATATCCAAATGTTTGTTAAAATTTCGATCGTAATTTTGTAAACAAAGGTGGCATTTCAGGGAACTTTATTTTCATCATGTTTACTATAGCTGTTCTGTCTTGGAATATGAATAATGGGAATGGTGTATTAAAACAGTTAATGCCCTTTTGTTACCAGTATGTCATAACTCCAGTGCAGCAGCTGGTATAATTAATATAAAGAAACACCTTTCAAAACGCACGT